CCCCAAAACCCCAAAACCCCAAAACCCCAAAACCCCTAGTACCTAATTTTGGTTGAAAAGTAAATAATATTTAATAAATATGACTGACGCAGTAGGGTCTAAAGCAATAGACCTCACTGAAGTATGCATCTCTCATTGCCGCCCATCACACTTGGCTCTTTTAATAAAACTCTGAGAAGAAATATTAGATTGAATCTCAAATGTTAGTGCTGCAATGCCATTCGATATTTTAAAAGATCATATCTAAAAACTGACTCATAAATGCTACTTAAAGTTCCATATAAATAATTGGCTCTGAATTTGTCCAATTTCCTAGAACTTGATAGAAATTCCTGAATAAAAAGTAGCATCAATATAGCGTTTCTCATGCTGATCTAGAACATCCCTGATTGAATACAGTCAATATTATCTAAAGAAGACTCACTGGCCTTCTACAAAAGAAAGTTGATTGCCAACCTCTCACGCTGTTCATCCCATCTGTACAGAATTACGTCCTGTGGGCCTTCCCAATTTGGACAAAATAGCTTGCTTGAAGCATGATGACGAATAGGATCTCCAAGAATAAGGCAGAACATCCTAAGAAAACACCAGGATCAAGATACAGATAAACCTAACTACACCACTAAATAACTTCAAACTAATAAAAGAGGGGAGAAGGAAAAGTATTCAGACTCTTATAGCTCTGTCACCGCTCTCTATCAAAAATATGACTCCAGAGATCTAATAATAGGACTCATACTAACATTTTGAAGAGAAGTATTAGTCAGACAGCTTATTTCGGAGATCAAAAGCTTTGAAGTCTTCCTGCCTCTTTGGGACACTTGAACGAATATCTTTAAATTCATCCTTATTGGAGTAATGAGAGATAAAACTTAGTGGTTTGAGGCAGCATTCCTCTTGGCTTTAGATATACCCAATTAGCTGCTCAAGATTAAGTCCTAGTTTAATTTAATTAAAGATTAAGGATGCATAGGTGAGTTCAAATTTAGAGTCTAAATGTTTCTACTTTCTAATAAGGAAGTGAGGAATATGTTGCTCCTCATTGTTAATTTTCTAAATTTCCCTAATTTTCGCATATTTTTGAACTATACTCTGCCTATTCTCTGATAATCTTAATATTTCGCTTAAATATCAAAATACCCAAAAATTTCAACGGGGTTTTGGGGTTTTGGGGTTTTGGGGTTTTGGGGTTTTGGGG